TGATTCTATTGTAACAGATGGTGTAGGTATTAATAATTTAGCTTGTGATTTATTAATTGCACCACTTGGTGGATCCTATTATGCAAACCCTTTACAAGGGTGTAATGTATTTAGTACAAGTGCATTAGGAGGATATTTTACATTTGATCTTCCTTTTACATCAAGTTTGAATATACAATTATACAATAAAACAGGAAATTCAGTGACCTTTTGGTTACAACCTTTTATCACAAGAACTTCATCGTTACAACAAACATTAACTAGTATTAATCCTCTAATACCTCGATCTATCTCATCTATTAAGTTGTACTCAACAACATTTAGATATGTAAATACAACTTATGGTAGTGAATATATGCTAATGAATGTTATGGATAATGGAAACGGAGTGTATTTGAAATACATAAGAATGCATGTTGTTGGAGGATCTGGAGACTGGTGGGAATCTAGAGTTCGCATCTATGATGGATATAGCGCTCCTACCAATACTAACTCTGTCATTCAACCTTGGACACCCTATAATAATAATGGATATACTACATTTTCTGGATATGATGTTAACAGTCGATGTATCTACGCTTTATCAGGTTTAGAAGATTTTTATCTCTCTTCATGGAATGGATCTAATGTAAGCTCATTTAATAATGAAGTATCAGGATTGTTGAATCAATCAAGTAGTATAATTGGTCCAACAACTACAATTTCATTTTATAGAAACTTTAATTCATCTGAAAGTATGCCTAGCGTTGGTAGAGGTAGAAGAATGGTAGTGACACTCAACTCTGGTGATGCACAAGTTGGACAATCTGGAAGCTATGCTGCACTGATAGGACAATGTTTCTACTACGCATAAAAAAATAACGCATGCGCATTAAAACAAGAAAAATGAGTTAAATAATTTTCTTGTGTATATAAAAAAGAATGGAAAACGAAGTGCAAAAAGAAATTAATCCAGCATATTTAAACTTTAAAAAAAGATTAGAAATAACGAGTAAAGATTTAAAATTAAAATCTAAAAAATTCAGTAAAGAAACAAATACACAATTAGGATCAGAACTAGAATCAGAATTAAAATTCATAAAGTTAATAATAAAAAATATATATAATCATGTTGATAAAAAAGAATTATTAGAATTAATAAGACCGGAATTATTAATATTAGAGAGTAAAATGATATCAACAAGAGATATGTTGTTAGAAACAAGATATATGTTGTTAGAAACAAGATATGATGAACATGTACAAATATTAATAGAAAAAATAGAAGAAATATTAAATATTATATTAAATATTATATATGAAGAAGATACTTATGATATTGAAATGACTGAAGATAATAAATATATAATAAAACAAATAAAAAAGAAAAATAAAAAATTAGAAAAAAAGCAAAATGAAATAGAAGAATTAAAAAATGTCGAAAATGGTATTCAAAAAGAAATAGAAAAAAAGCAAAAAGAAATAGAAAAAAAGCAAAAAAAGAAAAATAGAAAAATTAAAAAAAATAACGAATATAATATTCAAGAAAAAATAGAAAATGATATTCAAAAAGAAATAGAAAAAAGCAAAAAAAAAATAGAAAAATTATTCAGTGCCGAATATAATATTCAAGAAGAAATAGAAAAAAAGCAAGAAAAAATAGGAAGAATTAAAGAAATACGTAATACTTTCTATAAAATATATATAGCAAAAGATCCGAAGGATCAATTAGCGCACAAGAAAAAAAATTGAAAATAAATTTCTTTACATAAATTATAAGAAATGGATTGTGCAAGTAAAGATGTATATATTAAATTAGCAAGTTATAAAAGAAGATTAAGTTTAGCTTGTTATTTGCAAAATAAATTTAAATTACATGTTGAAAATTTAGAAAAGGAAAGATTAGAAGAAGAAAAGTTAAAAACACCAGATAATATTTATTATTGAAAAAAATCACGTGACGTCACAGCAAGAAAATCACGTGACCTGTGACGTCATTTTTCGACAAGAAATGAAATTAACACTTATTTAAAAAAATTCAATTTTCAATTTTTTAAAAAATTGAAAATTTATTTCTTAGTTGTAATAATTATTCACATCATGGTTAGAAATGAACCCTATATTTATTTAAATATATGGTTGAAAATAGGGTTGAAAATAAAAATGAGCTAGAACTCTCATATTCCTACTACTTACATTTGTTGTTATTAATGTCTTTCTGTAGCATGTCTAATCTATCTGTAATAATTTTGAGATTTGTACCGATAATTGAGGTAAATGATTTTTCCTGGTCTTTTAATAATCTTTCCGTTTCTATTAGGATACTTTTTTGTGTTCCTTAAGTTTACTGGAAATTATTTTGTCGAAATAGACACATCCCGCATTCCTATGATGTAATGTTTAAAAATGACGTATGTTCTCGGGCAATGATAAAACGTAAACATTAAAATTTAGTAGCTATTACTATTTTTTTAAATATGTGTTATTTTGCCTGTTCCACATTGAAAAAAGTTGAAAAACTTGATTTTCGGGGCAGTGGAGCTCATTGCTGTATTCCACAATGCAAAAGTGCATTTTACGATTCTCAAGGAAACAAGTCAGGCATTGGATAATTTAAAATTCCTAAGGACACTGCTTGTCGTAATAAGTGGTCTAAAATTATTTATCAGTTTAGAAAAAAAGGGGGTAATGACAATTTCGTTATAAAGGATACAACTTTAGTTTGCGAGCTTCATTTTAAAGTTGAAGATATTCAATTATCAATAAATATTGGCAAAAAATCTCTCAAAAAGGGAGTATTCCCATTGGTTTTTAAGTTTAAAAAGCTAATTGATGTAAAAAAAAGTTCTTCTCCTAGAAAAAAAAAAACTACTTGAAAATTTTGAAATTTTCTAAAAGCGAAGACATTAAAATTAATAACAAAGTACAATTGACTTTGAGGTTGACAGCAGTCTAAAAAGAAGTTGTTGTCAGGACAACATAAAATTGATTTATTGGAAAAAGAAAAACAATAGTTGATATCTAAAATGCGCTATTTAGAATATGAAAACAAAATAATAAAAAATCAATAAAATCAATATAAAAGAAAATATATTCATAGTTATGAAAATATGTCAACAGACAAAAAATTGTTCCAAAAGTATACTGGCATTGAGCATGAACAGTTTAATAATTTGTATAAATTTTTAAATCCAGGAAATAATTGAGAAAACGTTAAATATCACAACTTATCACTATTCAAAAAAGTTAATATTTTCGTCAATAAGGAAAAATCTGGTCCAAAACCAAAATTAAACACAAAAGATTAGTTATATATGTTTTTAGTGTGGCTAAAAAATGGATTTACAATTTTTCACACGTCTTGGTTATTCAAAATATCAAAATCTACAACATCATCTTAATAACATGGACAAATTTTCTATATTTTTCATTTGGAAGTGTTCCTAATTGGCCATCACGGGAACAAGTTGATAAGTATATGGCAGAAAACTTTAAAATGAGATTTTCTTCAATAAGATGCATCATTGATTGCACTGAACTCTTTTGTCAAAAACCTTCATCACTAAGACAGAAGAGTTCTTTACTCTCCAATTATAAACATCATGTAACTTATAAAGAATTGTTAGGTATTTCTCCATCAGGAGCTATAACTTTTATAAGTCAACTTTATGATGGATTTATTTCTGACAAAGAAATTGTTATGTAGTCGGATTTTCTTAATAAAGAACTATGGAATGAAAATGATTCAGTTATGGCCGATCGTGGGTTTACCATCTCAGATATTTTGAAAACAATCAATTTTAAATTAAACATACCATCTTTTTTAAACAGACAGTTACAGCTATGTAAAGAAGATGCAATAGAAAGTCAAACTATAGTATCTTTGAGAATTTATGTAGAACAAGCTATACGCAGAACAAAAGTATTTCGCCAAATAAGTAAAGAAATTCCTTTAGCGTTTCATGAGTCGATAAACCAACTATGGACAGTCACTTGTCTTTTATGTAACTTCCTCCCACCACTTATCAAAAATCAAAAATAAAAGCATTTATTTACAAGGATATTATTTCTTGAATATTAACGTTGTTATCTAATATTTGTGGTCGAAAATAGTTAATGCAAAAATTATTTAATTTTGTAACTAATTCAAAAAAGAACTGATTGTCAAAAGGTGTTCTTATGATAGCAATTCCCTTGAATGTATACACAACTAAGTCGCAAAACTGGGCATTACTTAAACCCATTGCCATTTGTATTTGTGTATAATAACCAGTGGAATGATCTTTTTTTAAATTTTTCATTGTAATGTCCATTTTTTTTTTAAGCGCTGAAATAAAATACGTCTTATCTCTTCAACTGAAACGCGAAAAAAGATATCTATATATCTATATATAGATATCTTTTTGTATATAGATATATAGATATCTATAAGATATCTATATATCTATATACACTGGCGTAGAAACAGAAAGGGGGCAGAGGGGGCGATAGCCTCTTTCCCCAACTAATATACTGGGGAGGGGAAGACACTACATCTAGCCCTCCTCCTTTCCTAAACTGTTTAAAAAAAAACTTTTATGATAGCAACAGCCGAGTTATCATTTTCCAGTCTGCAATGACTCAATCACAATTAAACATCACCATAGAAAAGTATATCCATAAAACTGTCTAATCACGTTAAAAAGATGATTAATCATGTTGCATGTGATAAATAATTGAATAAATAAATCATTTTTATCAATTTTACTGTATCATAAAAATAGAGGAACTTTTTCTTTTTTAATATATGTTTGTAGACCCCCCCCCCCTCACTTTCGCGACTTTTCTATGCCACTGTTTATATATATATATATATATATATATATATATATATATATATATATATATATATATATATATATATATATATATATATATATATATATATATTATGTTTGTCAGTTAAGTTTTTTTTTTTACTTTTTGTTAAAATAGACATAAGTTAAAAACAAAAAACTATTGAATTTATATAATATATTGTTTGTTAATAATTTACACGTTAATAAATTTGCATTAAAAATATATAAAAAATAAATGCATTAAATTTATCATTAATAATATGAATACTTGTAAAGCTTATAATAATGTCAAATATACAATTAATATAAAACATAACATATAAAAGAGATCATGCAAGACTTTGAGAACATTATTCTTTGTCAGATTCATCAAAAATATAGGGCTCAAATCGTGGTAATGATAATCAAGATAAAGGCTTCAATGTCAATGATTGGGCAGTATAGCCACGACTTTCTGTTGAACTGTTTTCTGGATGGACTTTTTTATGCTCTTTTTTTTCTGCCTCTATTTCTGTCTAGAGCTCCGGAAAAAAAAGCCACAACTGCCTTTTAATTTTGCTGTATGTGGTATCTTTTGTCAGCAAATTTCTTCTATAAACATAAACGCAGTCATATATCAAGTGTTTTTATGAACAAAATTATAAGAGTATAGCTAAATATAGCTGTTGTATATATCTGTATGTCTATATCTTTATCTCTCTCTCTTTGTTTATATATATATATATATATATTATATATATATATATATATATATATATATATATATATATATATATATATATATATATATATATATATATATATATATATATATATATATATATATACACATGGGCAGGATTAAAAAGTCTTTTTTTTAAAAGGAATGACCTTTATAAACTAAATTGAAAATTAAAAAAAAAAATAAAAACGTTTAGAAGGGCGCAATAATACCTAAATTGCTACCTATAAAGACTTATTTAATTTCAGGTAAAGATGTTGCATGTGGAATAATAACTTTTTTGTTATAGCCATCAAAACTTGTGTCACGGAAGGAGCCTATCATTCCTTCTCTGACACAATTTTTTTATGCCTATAACAAAAAATTTAGAATTCTACTAACAATGTCTTTTCTCAAAATTAAATAGATATTTATAGTTAGTTTGTTAGGTATTTTTACCCCCTTCTAAACCTTTTTAATTTTTTTTTAATTTCTAATTTAGTTTATAAAGGCAATTCCTTTTGAAAAACACGACTTTTTTTTGTATCTCAATTGGAGCAGGTTTTGATTCGAAAATCGAATCGAGAATCAAATCAGCAATTTAAGGAATATGATTTAAAATATTTCTTTGTATTATTTATTTCAAAAGAAAAAAAAATAATAGTAAAAACTCTTATTTGGTGCTTCATGTAGTAGTTAACCTTTTAAACAATTGGTAACAATTTTTAATAATTGGTAACAATTTTTAACGATTGGTAACAATTTTTAATGATTGGTAACAATTTTTAACAATTGTTAAGAATAAAGAAAGTATTTTTTGAAAGTGCAAAAGTGCCCAATTATTCAAAAATTTACAACAAAAATAAAATAAAAAAATATTCAATAACTTGAATCTTTTTTTTTTTGAAAATCACTTTTCCGATTCAATTCGAAAATTTGAAGTTTCATATGGCCCTAATGTAGGTAAGTATGTATGTATGTATGTATGTATGTATGTATGTATGTATGTATGTATGTATGTATGTATGTATGTATATATATATGTATATATATATTTTTTGTTATTCACCTCCTCAAGGCTGAAAAGGCCACTACAGACGAGGAGGCTACTATATATATATATATATATATATATATATATATATATATATATATATATATATATATATATATATATATATATATATATATATATATATATATATATATATATATATATATATATATATATATATATATATGTATATATATATTTTTTGTTATTCACCTCCTCAAGGCCAAAAAGGCCACTACAGACGAGGAGGCTACTATATATATATGTATATATATATTTTTTGTTATTCACCTCCTCAAGGCCGAAAAGGCCACTACAGACGAGGAGGCTACTATATATATATGTATATATATTTTTTGTTATTCACCTCCTCAAGGCCGAAAAGGCCACTACAGACGAGGAGGCTACTATATATATATATATATATATATATATATATATATATATATATATATATATATATATATATACACATAGAAACACACACACACATAGAAACACACATATATAAATTTAATAAATGACAATAAAGTGAAGAAAGCCATGAAAAACAATTTTAAATAATTATATTTATTTATTATTATATTTATTAACTTACTTTTAATAACTTGACGAAATTTAGGAATTCGGAAAGAATTTTTTTGAAGATCACCTTGCCCTGTCCAATTCAATTTTGCTACTACTCCCTTCACCTTAAAAAAAAATTGTTACCACTAGTAAAACAATTTAGTTCATTTTTTTTTTTTTATTAACATTAGTTATAATTCATAAAATGTTTTGCAATAGGCTACAAATTAGTAGTCAAAATACCTTAATCACAGAGGTAATTATAATCACTTTTTCCAATCTTGTTCTACTTTTATTCAACACAGAGACAGGTGTCTGCAGACAAGACTTTTTAAATTCCTGATGTTCATTAAAATCTTGTGAGTCACTATCATAATTTTCATCAGGTTACTTCTATACTCTAAACACATTAGTCTAATGTTAAAATATAGTTTATAGAAATTTTTATGGTATATTATAAACATTTTAAAGTATACATTAAAAAGTATAAATGAAATACAAAATAATACCTTAAGATATTACGATGTTCAGTAAAAATAATTTTAAGGCTAAACATTAACGGAGTTAATAAGTGTTACTTTAGTCAACAAATAATAATTAAAACTTAGTGAAGTACTTGTTTTACTCAACGCCAAATTTAAAATAAAGAAATTATAAAGAAATATAATTAAGGTTGAATAAATATATAGAATAAAGAAAAATTAAGGTGGGGGATGATGACAACGATGATGAGATCATATAAAATATAGCATAAAAAATACATATATATATAATGAATTTTATTTAAATACATAAAAAACACAAATTTAAATAAAATTTTAGGATGCATTAACATTTAAGCAGCTCTGGTCATAGATCAGCAAATTAAATCAGTGAATTCTTGTGTGATATTATGCTGAGAAGATCAAAATGCTAAATCACCCTCTAGTTCATCTATTACAGTATTCTTATCACTTTTATCTGAATCTTTATCAGATAAAGCTTCAAATTCACTAATTTCATTATCATTTTGATAAGAAATATTGAGGTTATTATCCAGATCAGTGTTGATGGAAGGTTCATTATCTGAAGTGTTTAACCAATGTTTTATGCAATTGCTTTGAACGACTGTTTTGGGCAAAACGTCAATAGGCTGAGGAAAATAAAATCATAGTCAACTATAATCATAGTTATAGGCTCCATCAATAACCATTTCCACTTGATTGATTTCGGACAAATAAATAAAGGCAAGCGGTAATTGCTGGCAGTGCCGGCAAATAATTCTGGGGTTAATTGCCGGCAGTGCCGGCAAATAATTCTGGGGTTAATTGAAGGCAGTACAAGCAAAGAATCAATTGAATTGTCATAGTATGTCAGACTTAATGTATGTGATTAGAATGTAAGTGAGCTACTTACAATGCAATCACAGACATTAAATTATCTACCGGCAGTACAATTACAGTCCTGTAAGTGAGCTACTACAATGCAATCGCATTGTAGTAGCTCACTTACAGGACTGTTACAGTCATATAGGTGAGCTATATGACTGTAACACAGTTACAGTCATATAGGTGAGCTACTTAAAATACAATCACAGACATTAAGTTATCTACCGGCAGTACAGTTACAGTCATATAGGTGAGCTACTTAAAATACAATCACAGACATTAAGTTATCTACCGGCAGTACAGTTACATTATTGTAAGTGAACTACTTACAGTCACAGACTTTGAATTATCTACCGGCAGTACAGTTACAGTACTGTAAGTGAACTACTTACAATCACAGACTTTGAATTATTTACCGGCAGTACAGTTACAGTACTGTAAGTGAACTATTTACAATCACAGACTTTGAATTATCTACCGGCAGTACAATTACAGTACTGTAAGTGAACTATTTACAATCACAGACTTTGAATTATCTACCGGTAGTACAATTACAGTACTGTAACTGTACTGCCGGTAGATAATTCAAAGTCTGTGATTGCATTAAAAGTAGTTTCCTCACAGTACTGTAACTGTACTGTGAGGATAACTTAATGTCTGTGATCGATACGGTAGATAACTTAATGTCTGTGATCGCATTTTAAGTAGCTCACTTTTATGACAGTAACTGTACTGCCGGTACAATTACAGTCCTGTAAGTAAGCTACTTACAATGCTATCACAGACATTAAGTTATCTACCAGCACTACAATTTCAGTCCTTTAAGTAAATTACTTACAATGCAATGAAAGACTTATCTACCGGCAGTGCAAAAGTAATACTAAAATGATCTGTTTGCAGTGTAATAACAGACTTTTAACTATCTGCCGGCAGAGCAATAAACAATATGATTGTGAACTGCTTGAAATGCAATAACAGACATTAAGTTATGAACCGGCAATACTATTACTGTTTTGTAAGTGAGCTACTTATGATTGTGAACTGCGACTTCAAATTATCTGAGGGCAGTATATAAAATAGTACGAAATTGAGCTACTTGCAATGCAATCACAGACTTAGAATTATCTACTGGCAGTACTATTACGGCATTGAAATACACTAGAGCAAAAAAAGTGAAAAGTTTCCATGCAATTTGGTCAGGTGACTCTATCGACGTGAAAAATTAAATCGTGAAAAATTTATTTTGCTTTCATTTTACTATAAGAGTAATTTTAAAGAAGTGTGCAAAATTTTACTTTGATATTACAAAACAGATTAAAAAAAACCATTGAAGTTAGTTAACTTTAAATATTAAAAATAAATTTATTAAAAAAAAATTTGAAACTAATTAAAGTTTACCAACATTCAATTTGAATCGTCGTTTGTTCTTGTTTGTTCCATATATTTAACCTGGTTGTTGCCTAATGATTTAAATGGTAAATTTCTGAGTGAAGTTTACCAAATGATATCATTTCAACAATAACGATACCACACAGACTTCTAAGCTAACCTAACCAAAAAATATAAATAAATCAATGTGGGTATTTGGAAATATATATATATATATATATATATATATATATATATATATATATATATATATATATATATATATATATATATATATGCGTGTATTAGTGTGTGTGTATATATATGTAAATACGTAGATATATATATATATTTCGTAAATATATTTACACATATTAAAGAAAACAGTAGATTAAAAGTTGAGTAAAATAGAGAAAACTAACTGGTTTTCTTAACAAAATTCAAGCACTACTATTTATATAGCTATTATACAAAATAAATAATTCTGAATATAATTACTAGTTTTCAATCTACTTATCTAAATTATAACAACTGATTGTCCTAAAAACTAGGCATAAGATCAATAAAAAAACTATATCAGCTCTAGTACTTGGTTTATAAAAGCTTCTTAAAACTGGTAGGTCTATCAGCCCCATTTAGACAACAGTGACAAAACCACTTTCGAGACGGTTTTCCAGTAATCCCACTACAGCAAACGTGATACCAATTTAAACAGTGATCACACTGAACCCAATCTGACTGTGGAAATTGTGCTGGAGAGTCATGCGATTTACAATCATTGCATTGATACGACTTTTTATCTGCAATTATGAAACGCTGTATTGATTAAATTAAGCGCCATGCATCAGCCAAAAAGTAAGACTTAAGTTCATTTAAACCAAACCGACTACCACAAACGATAGCACTGAAATTACATAGAACATCTTTGCGTTCGCCTTTACGAGCACAGTTCAAAATATCTCCTATTGCATATTCATTAACAATATTCTTCAGTCTAAAAGAGTCTTTTTCGAAGGTTGTCATTTTTTCCCATACTTTTGGACAAGTACTTCTATAAACTCGCTGAGAACGAGGTAAAAGAGGTCTACCCTGTTTTATTGCCGTCGCAGGAAATTTAAGATGTTGAATTGAAATACTAAGGTTTTTATCATCTGAAGTTTGACTATTTATAGTTTTTTCTGCTAAATTGTTTGTTTCTACAAGTAAATTTTTCTCTACTAAACTATTTTTTAAAATATCAATAGGACCTAATTTATCTAAATTTTCATTATCAACATTTTCAGATTCAACAACATAAGATTGAGTTTCGAAGCCCTGAAGGTTTGAATTTCTATATCTATACATATCTATACATAAATAACTTGCCCTAATCATTCCCGATATAATAATCAGTCTATCTTTGCTAAAGAGCACTTTCCTGTTGATATACTACTCCTGGACTACACAATGAAGCTGGACAAATGATTGAGTAGCACTGCACTAGATATTTGCCAGACTTCCCTTTATTAAAATATTTTATAAAAAAAAAGATATATTCAAAAAAAAAACTTACTATTGCAATACTTAAAAGCTTTTCAACTAGAAAAGACATTTTGATTTTGGAGGAATTAATAACTTTTTTAATTTTTGCATGAAAACATTCAAGGCGATTTGTCGTGTGGTTATCCAGATGAAGCTTACCGATACGACTGTAGCCACCAAACATTGGAATCATTGAGGCTGTGTTTCAATTGCGATTAAAATAATAATTAAGCTCTGGTGCAGCATATTCAAACTCCTTGACAAGTATATTTTACTGTGATTGATCCTAAGTGCTCCAAAAGTTCTTATTTATCTAGTTTTTTTCCTCAAACACCTGTTCTTTGGAATTCATATATATATATGTATATATATATATATATATATATATATATATATATATATATATATATATATATATATATATATATATATATATATATATATATATATATATATATATATATATATATATATATATACATATATATATATACATATATATGAAACGGAAAAAACACAATAAACAAACAGTTCTATTTGTGTTAATAAGTCCCTGTGTAATAAGGTTAACTATATTATAACTAATACATTATGGTTAATGCAAAAGAATTCAAAGACGCTCCGGATGCACCGGAGAGTAAACTAAGAATTGTTTATGAATCAAAGATTAGTAATGCTGTAGCAGATTTGAAAAAAACAATACAATCATTAGTATTAACAGTTGCTGATTTAACTAAAAAGAATGAAGATTTAAACAACAAAGTTGTAAATGTTATTGTTTCTGCTCCGAATGAAGCTTGGAATATTGTAACAGGTAGAAAATTAATAAAAAAACTCAATCTCAGATTGATATTATTGATACAGTTTCGAATGAAAATAGAGAAATTGAACGAAGAGAGAAGAACGTAATTATTTTGGGTTTAGAAGAATCCAATACAACTGATGGCGCAGATATAAGAAAGATGACGAAAACAAAGTATTAGATTTATTGGATCAAGTATCAATAGATAAACTTCATATGATTCGTATTTTTAGATTAAAATCTAAAAATGGTATTGAAAAAAAAAAAGTAATCTTTGAATTTGAATTTTTAGTATTTTAGATATTAATTTTTTTTAATTTCTTTTTGTTAAATAAATATTTTTGATTATGAATTTTGAAATTAAGCTATTTTTCATTTTATATAAACTTCTTTGAAATATTTTTCTTTTTTTTCTTTTTCTTTTTAAATAAACAATCTAACAGTGCCAGTGGATTCATTGTATAAAAACAGCCAATCTGGTAAGTATAGAGAAAATCTGATTTCTTAACTGTAGGAGTAATATTTTATTAGTTATTAATGTTTTGGAACTCATTGATAGAATTTTTTTCAAGAATCCATAACAGCCACATTGTTTTTCTTTGGCAAACTTGGTGTCTAAAAAAATTCACTTCGTAATTTATTTTTTTAACATTTCTGGTCAACTGAATAAAGTTGGTAAATTTTCTGGTAAACTGAATATACAAGATCTTTATTTATTTTACCTTTTCTTTTTTTTTATCTATTTGAATTTCATGCAGTATTTTACTACACAATGTTCTTATATCCGAAGATATTTGTTTGCTTAGCATAGGAACAGTCACAAATAGTAATTAAGACTAATCCAAAGTAGCGTCACTTATTGACCTACATTTTTGTGTACCAAAGTGCTAATCAAGCGCTAAGTTGGTGGTGACAGGATTCAAACCCGCATTGCACAACTGTTCAAGTTTTAACATTTCTTTTCACGCTCTAACCAACTGAGCTATTCAGAAACTAAGATAACTGTCAATAATTCTTAAAATACGCACCATTCACTTGGAACAGAAAAAATATTTTTTAAAAAATTGTTTCTGTCTACATCAATTTCATCACTACTGATTTTTTTTTTTTTTAATTTCAATTTTGGTTTTAAGGTGCCCCAAGATGACCTAACGGTTTTTTCACGGAGTACCGCGGCTGACCGCGGCTTATCTTTTAACTAGGAAGCTCACGCCTCTTTTCTTACCAATGGCGCAAATTATGCCAAGTGCTTGCTTCGAATCCTCAATCTTTTGCTTTTTAAGGCTAGGCTCTAACCACTGCACCACGCCTGCTCAATTTTCTTTTTATTAACAATAAATTAAATGTTGTTCAGA